TCTCGGCCTCCCAAAGTGCTGGGATTACAGGCTTGAGCCACCGCGCCCGGCCACGGGTGGTAATTTTATGACTGTGAGGAAATGACAGAACGTTTCTCGGTGTAGTTGGAGTAGGCAGTAGAAACTCCTGACAAGGGGAGAGCCAGCGTCATTTTATCGATTTCACTGGCCTGTCTGAGGCCACCTAGCCACACCACTAACATTGAAGAAAGTCCCTTGGACGCTTTTTTTTTAATAGACGGAGTCTCGCTCTGTCACCCAGGCTGGAGTACAGTGGCATGATCTCGGCTCACTGCAACCTCTGCCTCCTAGGTTCAAGCGATTTTCCTGCCTTAGCCTCCTGAGTAGCTGGGACTACAGGCGCCCGCCACCACGCCCAGCTAATTTTTTGTATTTTTAGTAGAGACAGGTTTCACCATGGTAGCCAGGATGGTCTCAATCTCCTGACCTCATGATCCGTCCGCCTCGGCCTCCCAAAGTGCTAGGATTACAGGCGTCAGCCACCGCACCTGGCTTCTTTTTTTTTTTTTGAGTCAGGGTCTCTTTCTGTTGCCCAGGCTGGAGTTTAGTGACACCATCTTGGCTTGCTGCAACCTGTGCCTCCTGGGTTCAAGCAATTCTCCTGTCTCAGCTTCTCAAGTAGGTGGGACTACAGGTGCCCCACCGTGCCCAGCAAAGTTTTGTATTTTTAGTGGAGATGGACTTTCGCCATGTTGGCCAGGCTGACCTCAAACTTGTGAATGGAAACAATCCATCTGTCTCGGCCTCCCGAAATGCTGGGATTGCAGGGGTGAGCCACCACGCCCGGCCAGCAGTGGCGTCTTTTATCAGACACACATGCAGTCGTGATAGGGCCTTATCAGTGATGAGCAGGATTGGGCTTAAGAAATCATTCAGATGAGGACTCTGAGTGATTTGCAAACTGAGATGAAATCCTCATTTTGTTGGGGAGGGCTGGCTGTGATAAAACAGGTTCTGTAACATAAAATCAAATTGACACAGGCCGGGCGCGGTGGCTCACTCTTGTAATCCCAACACTTTGGGAGGCCGAGGTGGGCGGATCACCAGAGGTCAGGAGTTTGAGACCAGCCTGGCCAACATGGTGAAACCGCGTCTCTACAAAAATACAAAAATTAGCCAGGCATGATGGCAGGTGCCTGTAATCCCAGCTGCTTGGGAGGCTGAGGCAGGAGAATTGCTTGAACTCAGGAGGCGGAGGTTGCAGTGAGCCGAGATGGCGCCATTGCACTCCTGCCTGGGCAACAGAGTGAGTCTCAAAAAAAAACAAAAAAACACAGTGTCACCTGGTAAATGAGTTATTGAGATGAATGCAGTCAGTTCTCTGTATCTTTGGGGTCCACACCTGTGAATTCAACCAACTTTTTCTTTTCACTCCCTAAACACTACAGTGTAACAACCGTTTACATTGTATTAGCTAGTTTAGGTGCTGAAGACATGATTTACAATATAGGGGAGGATGTGTGATGGTTGTATGCAAATACTACACTGTTTCATATAATGGACATCTGGGCGGGGATGGGGGTGTCTTGAAACCAGCTGTGCATTACATCTTCAGAAGCTTTTTCAGTTCCTTTCAGGCCTGTTGCTTAGGTTGCGCAGTCTACACACCAAGACGAGGGCATTCCTCTGCGGGAATAAAGAGTACCATGTATCTTTCTCAACTCTTTGAAAATGATTATTTCCTGTGCTTTTTTTTTGCAGAGCTGGTGGAGTTGAGATCTATAATGGGGATCGTAAAATAAAGGTTTCCAACACCCTGGAAAGCCGGCTGGATCTCATAGCGCAGCAGGTGAGTGTGGCGGTACTTCTTGGTAGTTGGTCTGCTGTTACTTTGAAGTGGGACAGACAGCACATGTCCATTCCCTGGTATTTGGGATTTGTTGCTGTCTTTCCACATTTTTGGACTTTTGCTCAAAAAGAAAGAGAATTGGGCATGCAGTAGCATTTGCTGAGGTGATAACATTTACATGAGGGTGAATTTGGGTTCAGAACAAGGGTTTTGTTGACCTAGGATTCAAATTTGTACATTTTACTACATGTAAGGTGCTGACAAGTTCTTTCTGTAGCAGGAATGATGGAAACTAAAGCAAATACTTGTGTTTTGTTTTGCTTTTTTG